CTGCTCCCACTGCAGCAGTTGGGAGAGGCATGTCCTGCCCCGCCTCTCAGCCCCAGGCAGGAGTGGGGTCTCCTTCCTTCTGCAGAACAGTGCTTTGCTGCATGGCAGAAGGGCCATGCAGAGCCCGGCACGGCAGTCTTAGAGCAGCTGCAACCCAGGCAGTAGCACTCAGCTGGCGGCTGGGAGGCAGCGCAGGGCTAGGTGAGGGGGGCAGAGCAGGCACTGGGAGCTCCTAGTTGTGGAGAACTCTAAGAGGCAGAGGGCTGACACTGGGGAGCCCTGGGGTATCTGGGGTGGGGAGCTGGCAAAGTGGGTGCTCGGGGGCAGGGCTGGTACTGGGGGGCTATTGGAACAGAGCTAGTATTGGAGACTGGGGGCTGACATGGGGAGTGCTCGGGGGGTTGGGTGCAGTGAGGCTCTGGAAACAGGAGGCTGGCAATGGGAGAGTCTGGTAGTGGGGGGCTCTAAGGAGCAGGGGGCTGGCACTGAGGCATTTGGGATGAGTGGCTGGCACTGAGGGATCTGAAGGTAGGAGGCTGGCATGGCGGGGGCTGAGTGCAGGGGACCCTGGAGTCTGTGGGTGGTGCTGGGGGGGTAATGGAGGGATGGGGGGGCTCTAGGGGTTAAGACTAGCACTGGGGGTGCTCTGAAAGTTGGGGCTTTTTGCGGACCAGCAATACTTTATTTGCATGTTTGCATATTCATTATTTATATAATGAATATGCAAATGCAGTGTTACCAGTCCGCCAAAAGTTTGTGAGTGGGTTTCATAGAATACTAGAGCTGGAAGAGACCTCAGGAGGTCATCAAGTCAAGCCCCCTGCCCAAAGCAGAACCAATCCCAACTAAATCAACACAGCCAGGGCTCTTTCAAGCCAGGACTTAAAAACCTCTAGGGATGGAGATTCTACCACCTCCCGAGGTTACCCATTCCAGTGCTTCACCACCCTCCTAGTGAAATAGTTTTTCCTAATATCCAACCTAGACCTCCCCCACTGTAACTTGAGACATAAGAACATAAGACCATTGCTCCTCATTCTGCCATCCATCACTACTGAGAACAGCTTCTCTCCATCCTCTTTAGAACCTCCCTTCAGGAAGTTGAAGGCTGCTATCAAATCCCCCCTCACTCTTCTCTTCTGTAGACTAAATAAGCCCAAATCCCTCAGCCTCTCCTTGGAGCTCATGTGCTCCAGCCCCCTAATCATTTTGGTTGCCCTCTACTGGACCCTCTCCAATGCATCCACATCCTTTCTGTAGTGGGGGGCCCAAAACGGGATGCAGTACTCCAGATGTGGCCTTACCAGTGCAGAATAAAGGAGAATAATCACTTCTCCAGATCTTCTGTCAATGCTCCTTCTAATGCACCCTAATATGCTATTAGCCTTCTTGGCTACAAGGGCACACTGTTGCCTCATATCCAGCTTCTCATCCACTGTAATCCCCAGGTCCTTTTCTGTTGAACTGCTAGCTAGCCAGTCGGTCCCCAACCTGTAATAATACTTGTGATTCTTCCATTCCAAGTGCAGGACTCTGCTCTTGTCCTTGTTGAACCTCATCAGATTTCTTTTGGCCCAATCCTTTAATGTGTCTAGGTCACTCTGGACTCTATTCCTGCCCTCCAACGTATCTACCTCTCCCGCTAGCTTAGTGTCATCCACAAACTTGCTGAGGGTGCAATCCATCCCCTCACCCAGGTAATTAATAAAGATGTTGAACAAAACCAGCCCTAGAACCAATCCTTGGGGCACACTGCTTGAAACTGACTGCCAACCACACATTGAGCTGTTGATCACTACCTGTTGAGCCTGACAATCTAGCCAGCTTTCTATCCATGTTACCGTCCATTTATCTAATCCATACTTCCTTAACTTGCTGGCAAGTATATTGTGGGAGACCGTATCATAAGCTTTGCTAAAGTCAATATATATCACATCCACTGACTTTCCCATGTCCACAGAGCCAGTTACCTCATCATAGAAGCTAATCAGATTGGTCAGCCATGACTTGCCCTTGGGGAATCCATGATTCTTTCCCTTGAACAACCTCATAACCAAGCATTCAAAGCCTGAAAATGGTTTGAGCCTAGAAGCAGGTTTATATTCTTTAACAGGGTTGTGATAGGCAACGCTTCAATCCATTCATTTTGCTTCTCCATAGATCAATAGTTCTCACCCTATTTACCATTGTGGACCACATACTAGCTCTCTATTTGTTACGTGGGCTGCATCCACACAATATGTATATTCCTTATATGGCCCTGAGGATATCACGTGGACCACAGCTGTGTGTTGATTGGGCTGTGTGATGAAAACCACTATCATAGATAAAAGTATCAGTAATTTTGACAGCAGCAGCAATCCAGGAAACCTGATCTGTAAGGAAGGGTTAAAACACTTGGGCATGTTTAGTTTTGAGAAAAGAAGACCCACCTGATAACAGTCTTCAAATATGTTAAGGGCTGTTATGAAGAAGATGGTGATCAGTGTTCCCTCTATCATTTTCTATCCTTGGGTGGGTTGAATTTTCTTATGTGCAACACCAATATTGAGGTACTATGTGGATGTGCATCGCCAATACAAACAAAGCACATGCACACGCATGTGTGTGTGTGTGTGTGTGTGTGTGTGTGTGTGTGTGTGTGTGTAAAGCAGTCCATATGTGTGGACAAAAATATATTAAAATAAGATTCCTGTGTCTAGTTGCTGTGAGGTACCCTTAGTAAGTACAAAGGTTGCTGTACAAAGGTAGAGAGTTAGCCTTCTTCCATTTAAGGAAGAGTTGAAACCCCAGAACAAATAAACACATGGCTTCAGGGTTAGTAGACATATGAGTGATGGGGGACCAGACCCCCACACTAGAAGCCGCCCAGTTGCAGCTGAGGTCAGTGCGCCGAGCGACAAGTCACCAGCCAACCGCGCATGCGCAGGGGCGCCCCAGCCTGAATCTGTGGGTATCAGGACCCCAAGGTGGCCAGCCGTCCCCTGTTCAGGGATGCCGCGTTACGCAGTGCTGGGGATACAAAAGGTAGGGCGGACGGCAGGACGGGGGGGAAGCAGGAGCTGGTTGTGCTCTCACCCCAGCAGGCAGAGAGAACTCCACCCCAGCCGGCGGAACGGAAGTAGCCCAAGGGATGGATTGGGCGGCAGGAAGCCAAGACCTTCCCAGTGGGACAAGCGACCCGGATGCGAGGCGGTGGACGGAGGAGAAGTTAAAAAGGAACTTTCCCCGTAGAGGGCTGCTGGTGACTGTGAGGGGAGTGGCTCAGTAGGGGCCACGAGGGGATAGAGGTGGAGAGAGGGTAGGGGCTTAGAGACGCTCTGACCCACTCTCTGCTACATGATGCATGTTTCAAAGAGCTTGCAAATAAGGTTTCATCCTACAAAACAACTAGCATCAGACCTGCTAATTACTATTTCTGACTCATAAGTGCCAGAACTCTACCACATAGCAAAGCTATGGCCTTAATGCAATACAATTTACTATGTATTAATTAGTAACACATGATTTAAAAAATCATTAAGTTCAGAATTTTTTGGAGTGTTGCAGCTAAAATAATCTTCTTCTTTCTTATTTTAAGTCATTAATACCTATGTAAACTTTGTTTGAAATGTAATCATGCAAATATCCTCCTGGCACACAAACCCACCAGGCAGCCTGTTTTCCTCCCTCTCTCCAACCCAGACAGACAGCAAGGACTGCAGCAAGTGACAAGGGTTGCCAGATGGTTTCAACAAAAATACTGGACACACTTGACATGACATCACAATCTACATTACATCTTATTTAGAAAATATCAGACATTTCTATTTTCTCATTTATATTTTCTCAATTTGTTTCCCAAACAGAAAGCTCAAATACTGGACTGTCCCATTCAAAACCGGACACCTGGCAACCCTACAAGTGAGTCAGGACACCCCTAAACAAACTGCCCCCTGCCTCCACCTCACTGCACAGATGTCAGCACCCACCCACCCCCTCTTTCTCCCACCTATCCCATGCAGTCAGCCCCTTACCCTCCCCCTTTGCAGCCCAGGAGAGTTGAAGAGACTTCTGGGTTTCTGCCTCAGTCTCTCCCCTCCCCAAACTCTCTTTCCCCTCTCGCTTCCCCCCAAAACAATTAATTAATCCCTCCCCCCCCAGCCACTTATTCCCTGTTTATCTTGTCTGCTTATCTGTTTCAGCCCCCACTATTGATACTACAATGTTTAAGAAATTACTGTCCTTTTTTGGGAGGGAGATTGCAATTCAGCACTGCTTATTCAGGCAACGTTCCCAATGAATTCAATAGGATTTTTGCCCAAGCAAGAAGAACAGGTTTGGTTATTACAAGAACAACATGAGATGGACAGGAAAAAGCAGTGAAATAGGGTGGTCCTGGATAAAAACCTTCTTGGAAACTCCTTCTACATGGGGCTTAATCCTGGGCTGCTTTTCTATGATGCATTTTCTAACAAATAATTAGTCATTTTTTTTCTATAGCACTCCAAGTAAAAAGTTACATTAAAATCAATCTTAAACAGCAAAGGATACATATAATAGCTGGTTCAGAGTTCCAAGATAACCTAATCCTTCCTCCCAGAACCCAAACCATCAGGAAATAACTCTAAACCCCTCTCACTCTCCCTTTATCCCCATTAAATAAATAATTAAATATACGTACTCCCTAATGCTGTACGCACAGCCCATCTATATCTTCTGAGTCTCTCCTATGGCTTAAGCTCTTACGGAGTGAAAACATTTTGCTTGTCCAGCCTCGTGACATTTTCATTATATTTCTGGCATGAAGTTGGCTTACTTGCTTTCATTAAAAAGGTATTGGGAGCTTGATGCTGAGAGATGCTGAGCACCCACACCTTCCAATGTAGCCCACGGGAAGTGCATTTGCTCAGCAAAATGTGTACCACAGCCACAGTAGCTCAGGATCACACCTTTCATGTGGCACTTACCCTCCCAGCCCTCACAACACACATGCACACGTGCACACACACACTTCTTACTGGAAGGGAGGCTCTCCTTTCACTAAAGGATCGCGTCTGGCGTTTGCTGTGGCCTCTACCCTCTTTCTCATCAATCACGCTGTGGCCCCAGAAGCTGCTCATCCATTTTGCAAAGGAAATGTCATCATCCTCTTCATATTCCATGTACAGATACTCCAAACTGGGGGGAGCTCCCAACCAGACAGATCAGATGTACGCTGGACTGGACTGCCAAGCAGATAGTCCCACACTGAACTGTCAACAAGAAGGAAAGGGACTGTAGTTTCAAACATTCACTGCCAAATTAACAACAGCAACAACAAAAACCAAAAACCCAACCAGATGCAGCCCTAGGCACTGCTTACATATACGCCAATACCCAGTAATCTATTTTAAATGAGGTTTCTTTTAATCTTTCCATTACAGAAATGCCCAATGTCACACAGCCTAGAGGGTGGCAAGGAAAAATGTGTGGCCTAATTAATATTCATTGCTGCTGAGTGCATCAACTGTCAATAACAATGCAGAGTTGCCCACAAAAACATGCCTGGAAGGTGCACACTGATATGAAACAGGCTTGTAATTTGAAGAAGGCGAATGGATATATTGACAGTGGCCAGAAACTGGCACAGCTGTTTATTGAAGCTTAACTGACTCTATGAAATAACTTTTGGCTCTGCTCTTCCTGCTAGTATTTAATAATATGCCCTGCATGGCAGGACACAGAACTTTTCTCAGAAACCTTCTCATCATCTTTTGTGGGTGACCAATGTTAACCAACTAGGAACAATATTAGTTTGCAGAATTTTAGCATTTTAAGGCCAGATCAGTTGCCTTTCACCAAGACCACTTCATTTTCTACCATCGGGGCTAGATTAGGGTACACTGGTGCTAGAGGTGCATATAGGAATACATTCTTGTAAAGGGGTGTCAAGTGCTACTAAAAGGATTTCTGAGGCAACAGAATTGTTTGAGGGCCAATGCTCCTCCCCAGATGGGACAGAAGAATTGCTAGGCCCTCTGGGCCTAGTTCTTCCTTGCCTTAACCTTTGTGTGCTCAAACTGAGCATAGGGTGGATTTAAAACACAGGCTCCCGTTCTGATTTGATAGAATGCTATGGTCTCTTTGGACTGGTGCAAAGGGCTGCACAAGACACAGGGCAATGGAGATGGCCTGTAGAATTATCCAGTGGGATACTAGCAGCAGAGAATGCTGTGAGACTCTGAGTCAGAGTGCTTAGATGGTCCACTGGTTAGGGCACTAACTGGGATTTAGAAGGCCAGGATTCAATTCACTGCTCCACTACAGACAACCTGGGTGGCTTTGAGCAAGTTACTCATAGGGTTACCAGGTAGGTTTAGAAAAAATACCAGACACACTTGATCAGACGGGGGGCTGGTGGGAGCAGCGCGGCTGACCCAGGGAGATGAAGGAGGGGTCAGGGCAGTGCAGCTGGCCAGGGGAGATCGGGAGGAGGAGAACTGGCCGGCAGGAAGCAGGGGTGACCAGGAGGGGGTCAGGGGCAGCGGAGCTGGTCGGGAAGGGTCGGGGGAAGAGGGCGACGGGACTGACCTGGGCATGTGCAGATCCCAAGGTGCTGTCAGTCCCGCAAATGGTATGGAGAAGTGCGAGTAAGTCTGGCTGCAGCTCCACCACATGCTCAGGAGCAGGGAGAGGGCTTCTCCTGCTCCCCAAGGCGTCAGACGCAGCCAGGGCTCCCAGCGCCAATCACGCCCCTTTTCCTAGCCACTCCCCCACCCCTGCAAGGCTTCCATCCGGCATCCAGCTGGAAAACCAGGAAATACCGGACATTGCACATGTCTAGATTTTTTTACTGGACAGAGGGCCCAAAAACTGGACTGTCTGGTAGAATACCGGACACCTGGCAACCCTAGTTACTCAACCTGTTAGTGCCTCATTTCCCTGCCTGTACTATGGTGATAATAGCTCCTCTCTATGTTGTATGGGTGTTGTGAGGATAAATGTGTTAAAGATTACGAGGTTGTGGCCGGGTCTCCCTACCAGCGGGATAACCATGTGGTTAGGTCCCAGATTTAGCTGGCGGAAGAGGGGTGCAGATCCCTACTGCTGGTGCCCCAGGCCTAGGAATTTCAGCCTATTATCTGAGTACAGTCCTTAAGTTTGGGGTATGTCCCCAAGAGTCCAAATTTCCCCTCCCTCAGTGAGGGCTCCAAGTAGGTTCCCCACTTTTGCCCCAGAAGCTGGGGTTGGAGGTTCACTTGCTCCTGTGACTAGGCAAGTGTACAGGCTTAGGCTTTGGCTCCAGTCCTGAAAACTACAGAACCGTGCTCCTGTCTCCTTGCTTGTCAGCCCCTAGGGCTCCTTCCTTTTATCCTGCTTCCAGGCCTGGCACTGGCTACTGGTAAAGCGGAGCTGGGCTAACAGGGCCAAAAGGCTTTCTTTGACTCCTGTGATGCCAGGCCCTCCTCTCTTCAGGCCCTCCTCTCACAGAAGTGCTCAGATATTATGGGGATGGGGGCCTTAGATAGAAAAGAAAGGCAATGTATTTTGAGATAAAGTTTGAGGGACCAGAGGAATGCATTGCAACATCTGTGCCTCTCCCCCTAAATGTGGGTTATTGTAGACTACACATTCACCGTGTGGATGCAAAGCATTCCAAAGGCATTTGATCATGGCAACTAACCACAAGTGGCTTCCTCTGAGCCCTGAGAGTGGAGCTCCCACCCTCCACACAAGGCCTTGCCCCACCCCACCAAGGATGGAATTTTGGGAGGGTGGGGGGGAAGCAGCTGTGTGCTCTGGGATGCAGCTATCAGGGACTGAGGGGGAAGTGCTTGCAATCCAAGCTTGCCTCTCACACCTGGCTCGTGAAGGGAGCTCACCCGCCAGGTGTGAGAGGAATGCACAGAATGCAAGTACTGTCCCCTCACTCTCTTAGCATACGGTAAATGGGATGAAAAGCTAGCCACGTCTCGGAGTCCATGGATGCTGCCCCGCTCCCTTCCGAAACTCCGTCCTTGCACCCCATCCCTTCTCCCAAACCCCACCCCTGCCCTGCCGCTTCCTGCTCAGTTCTGACCCCCTTCCCCACTCCTCCATCTCCTGCCCAACCTCCTGCACACTGTGGAACAGTTGATTGATGGAGCCACTAACAGATGGAAGGAGCTGAGTGAGGGGAAGCTGGCTGCCAGTGGGTGCTAAGTGTTACGCGATGGGGAGTTTCACAGTATAGGAAGAAATCAGTGGAAATGCAGAGAGCTTGAGTAGTTGCAAGTGTCCATTTTATTGCATAGCACAGAACTAACTAGAACAAACCCAAACTAGCTGGGCTGACCCCAGTGACCTAACTCAGTTACTATAACAACAAGATCTATATCTACAACCCAATATACAACACTAAGCACCCACTTCTTTTTTTCTATGGTGCTACAGGCCCAAGGAGTTAGTGCGTATCTAACCAACAGTTAGCTGCAGTGCCTTTTGGCCTCGTATTGATGGGGCCTATTAGCTGTTGGAAAAAAAAAAAATCAAACCCCCTCAAACCTTAGCAGAAAATGTCAATTCTCCCTCATGAGCATGCTGTCTCAGTCTCACACACAGCCCTAAGCTTATCTCATTCGTTTTGTGCGAATATATAAAAATTTAAAATATTTTTATTTGTATGCTGAAAGAGACAACAATACACCTGGGGCCTCTGTACAGGGGTTAGAGCTTGGAAAGCTGCTTTTCAAGCTTGTGTACTGTGGTAACCATGGAGACTACAGGCCCTCCTATGAAGGGGTATGTCTACACTACCACCCTAGTTCGAACTAGGGGGGTAATGTAGGCACCCGGAGTTGCAAATGAAGCCCGGGAAATTCAAATCCCGGGCTTCATTTGCATGTTGCCGGGTGCCGCCATTTTTAAATGTCCGCTAGTTCGTGGAACGAGGAGTACAGGTAGTTCGGAATAGGAAGCCTAGTCCGAACTCCCTAGTTCGTGCCGCGTGTAGCCGCGGGGCACGGAGTCCAAACTAGCGGACATTTAAAAATGGGGGCGCCCGGCAACATGCAAATGAAGCCCGGGAAATTCAAATCCCGGGCTTCATTTGCAACTCCGGGTGCCTACATTACCCCCCTAGTTCGAACTAGGGTGGTAGTGTAGACAGACCCAAGGAGAGCAGAGAGGAGGCAATGCTGGGGATAGGAATAGTGTGTGAATACCCGAAGGTGACAAAAAAATGAGTAGGACTTGATAGAAAGTTTGCAGGTTCTGCAAAACACAGTTCAAGATTTGAACCACACTGGACAAGTTCATGACCCTTCATTGTCTAAGTAGCAGGCAAGATTTCTTTTTTTATTTAAATGTATACTGTGTTGCTGAGAGCTGTCCTTGCAGCCAGCAAGGAGAAAAATATATCTTATCATCTGGAAAGTGAAATACAGAAACAGCAGAGCAGTGTCTTACAGCCACAAATTCCTTTTGCATTTATGGTGAATCCCCTTACTGATAAAGTAAGTCAAATATGTTTAAAAATTATAATTTCTGTTATTAATGCATTATTAATTTATTTTATTCGTGTTATTTGTATTATTATTATTATTAACCCTCTTCAGAGCCCTTGAGTTCCTCAAATATAATCATGGAGACTTATTTTTCCAGTAGTACAATAATTTATTCTTAGTACTTTGTCAGAAATTCTGTTTCAAGAAAGGTTTGTTTTTATTAATTAATTTTTGAATGGGTCCAAGATTTTCTGTTTTATGTATACTTTTCAGTGTGTGCTGATGAGAGTTAAATACATCCCTCTGCCACCAGATTTCTTGTCAGTCCTGCTGGACAATGGATGTTGCTGGACAGGAGAGTCTCAAACCAGAAAGGTTCAACCTGTATTAGACTATAGTATATTATACAAAGCTATACAGACTCAAACTTGCAATAATTATATCACTTAAAATATCCACTTGTGTATTATTAATGCTTGTGAAAGTTTGATTATATTGTGTGAATTATTTTAATTGCCTATTAATTTCCCTTATTTATATTTCACTTCAGTAAAATATTCAATTTTATCTCTTGCAACTGCAGCCCGCCTGAGTTACCTGTTTAAAGATAGCTTTCCTGGCAGCCAGATTGCTCAATATTGTGCATCTATGAGAACTGAGTCAAAATGTACATTGAATAGTGCCATTGCTCCCTGTTTCCAAGCATGTCTTGTGAGGCAAATGGAGATTAAAGCCCTTTCTCTTTCTGTTGATGGTTCTAACAACACAGAGTTAGACAAAATGAATTGTTTGACAGTGAAGATTTCTGATAACCAGAAACATCTTGTGACAATACACTTACTTGACTTATGCCTCACTAGTGGCATTTATTCAGCCACAGGAAAGAAATCTTTTTCCAAAATTGATGGGAGAATGACATCATATGAGATGCCATGGGATAACTGTGTTGGATTTTCTGTAGACAGTGCCAGTGTAAACATAGGTAAGAATAATTCAGGTAAGACACTGGTTCAAAATAAGAATGTGTATATAATACTGAGCATTTTGATGGCAGATACTAGCACATGTTCAATTTCTCTCCAACAGAGACAGAGAAATTGCAAGCGAGGTTTGTTGATTCCCAGTTGATGCAGAAATCAAATATCCCTCAATATGCATTGGACGAGGCAGCACTACAAACTGACACAGATAACATTGCTATGCAATACAAGATGGACACTGTTGTAGGGCATAGCTTAGTAATGTCAAAAGCACTAATGATCTTCTCCTATACCAGGGTTGCCAGATGTCTTATAGTTTTACCCCACACAAATGCAGGAGAAGAGAGAATGTTCAGTCTTGTTCAAAAGAGTGAGACACCATTCAGATGAAACCTTGGATGAGATGGAACATTCTGTCCTCTGTTATCCAAGTAAACCTGGAAAATCTTGAGCCATGTTTCAAATATAAGCTACCAAAGGGAGTTATAGAAACAGCAAACGAGGCCATATAGTGGGCACCTGCATTTCTCATTGTGGGAAGGCAAAAAAACAGACTAAATCCTTCTGTGCATACCAGAGGTATCTCTCTGCATGTACTGAGGAGCGGGAATGCAAGGGGTGAATTCTGTGCTTCTCAAGCACACCATGAGTTAGCAACTAACATTGTTTTTGCAGCTATGTGCCAGTGTGTAGTTGTGTAATCCTTCTGCCAGGTGAAGTCAGCAGCAGCCAGGGCCAGGTTCAATATCTAGGGGTTCCTCTCCATCTATCCAATACAGAACTAGTTTGAACCCCCACCTTGTAACCTGGGAAATTCACACATTACCCCTGGGCACCTATGAGAGGCAATGCTTCCCCACTCGCAGGCACAAAGTAGTAACGGGGCATTAATTTGGGAAAACACCACAGAGTTCATAAACAAAAACTGAGAGTAATAATCTCACCACAAGTAGGTTGGGCAGTGTCCTTTTCCAATCAGGTTCTTAAGTCCAGCAATCTAAATGTCCTCTTCACATGCCCAACCCTTTTCTCACGCCCTCTGAGTTGCAGCCCTTGGTTAGATCAGACCCAGAGTTCAGAGGTGCATCCACAGAGTTCACCTCCCGTCCTGAGTGTGAGGAGGTAAAGAGATTACTCCCTCTGCTGCTCACGTGTCATCCACCTGCTCATTGCTCTCTGCCACTTCCCTGCTGGCCACTCATTACGCCTTTACTCTGCCATCCTACTGGCCACTTGTTGTGTGGCTGCTTTTATTGCAACTCTCCACTGCGGCCCTGCTGGTCGCTCATCATATCTCTCTGACACCACCCTGCTGAGTCTCAGCCACCATCCACGGCAATCCTCTGTTTGGCTGTGACTTCTACCCATCAGTCTCAAATGATTTCAGCTCCCAGTGATTTCAACTCTTAGGAAGCAGGGTAGAAGAAATACAACTCTGATACAATTAACTTAAGAAAGGTTCTTGATGATGCCTATTTAGGTCTGTTCTTTGAATAGTAGGGAGGGGAGAGAATGGACAGATCAAACCAGTCAAGGCAAGAGAGGCTACACAGCCTCCTTTTTAGCAGAATAACCTTCCCTCCCCCTGCCCGAGTTCCTGCTTACCAAGATTCTTTCTGCTGACCGAGAGTCCTTTCATTTGGAACAATTTAGCACAGTTCTGCTTTTCTGTATTCCTACAAAACTACAAACATCAATAATAATAATTTAGCTATCCCAGCATTGAATACAAACATAGTTGGTGTTGGGTCACAAATTAAGTTTATTACAATAAGCAAAATACCGTTCCATCTGCTGAATAGCTAACAAATCTAAGCAATGCAGGAGCAAACTTTATTTACATAGTTACATCCAGGGTTTCGCTCCCATTCCAGCTAGCTGTGATGGAAGCATTCCTTCAGACCTTGCTTACACTTGTTTCACCGTGTTTTATGCCAGCTTCTAAGGGGGAACTGACTGCTTTTCAGTGAATGAATCCAGTTTTCTTGTCTATGGGCTCTCTAAAGCAGGTGTGGGGAAACTTCTTTGGGGTCAGGGACTCTGGCCCACAGAAAAATCAGGCAGGGGTTTGCACACAAATGAAAAACAACAACAAAAACCCATCCCTCTTCAGCATGAGCTCCCCAGTGCTGGGGAGGTTCTCCTGGGCCTTAGGTTCCCCACTCCCGCTCTAAAGAAAAGACAAACAAAAGTATATTGGTCAGCATTTTGATAGGAAAGAAAAAATGGAGAGAAAAAAAAACAGCAATGGTTACTGCAATCTGCTCAGGGGGAAAACAGAGAGGGGTAATATCCTGTCGGGTGATCATGTCAAATAGTGTCATCATGCCTCAGAACAAGGGGGCAGAATAACAGTTGCATGTGCAACCTTCATTTTGGCATCATCTGACTTTCAAGTGTTTCACTCTGCAACCTTAACATGTGATGTTTATAATCACTGACACTTTTGTTTGGAATAATAATCAAAGTTCTTTAAAGTATCTTATTTAGGGTTACCAAGTGTCCAGTTTTCACCCAGACAGTCCGTTATTTCTGGCCCCTGTTCGGTAAAAAAAAAAAAAAAAAAAACTTTTCCCCATTTTTCTGGGGGGTAGGGGTGGTTTTTTTTTTTTTGCTCAATCAAGTTTTTTTCCTGCTATGTTTGTGATTTTTGGTGAAAGCATCTGACAAGCCTAATCTTATTTCTCTCCCATCTATAAAGAAAGCCAACAAGTTACCTGCAGGGTGAAAAATGCTTAGTGCAACTGAGCAAAAAATAATAACAAAACAAACTTTCCTATTTACTCTCAGGTGAGTGCTCCAGAAGAACAAACAGAGGTAGCAATGGCAAATTTTCCACTCTCCCCAGTCAGACCTCCAAGCAGGCAAGTACCATCACCATCAATGAGCAACAGTCATCTCCCACCCCTGAGAGCATCAGGCAAGCAATCACCATCATCATCATCAATGGCAACTGCTCCATTCCCTCCATTAAGAGCTCCAGAAAAGCAAATGTCTTTCTCCTCTTCCTCCTCCTCAACTACAAAGGTTTTTCTTCCTCCATTGAATGTTTTAGATAAGAAAGCAGGAGTAATGATCAAACCCCCTTTGCTGCCTCCATTGAGCCCTTCTGTTGAACATGAAGAATCAACACCACCAGCAACAACCTCATCTTTTCAGGTGAGTGCTCCTGACAAGTCAAGGACAGCACCAAAGGCACCTCTCTATATGGGGATGGTCTGACGTGTCTCGATGTGCAATCTAGACCACAGAACCTCTGTGCCTCCTTTAATTCTCCTGCTCTGGCTAGTTCACACAGGTGAATCACAGCTCTCATTTAAAGAAAAAGTCAGTTTTCATACTCCATGATTATAGAGAACAGTTTGATAATGTAATCGGAGTGTACCAAAAAGACTCAAAAGCCAGAAGGCAAATAACATCCCAATTTATTGTTATTTAAGACAATCTCATGAATGTTGATGACTAAATGTTTGTTTTAAATATCTGTGGTTGGCAATATGTCATATGCTTCATTTTTATCATGTAAGGAGTCCCATTGATTTCATATGAGTTAAAATTAAGGATGGGAAAAATGTCCCCTTTGACTTCAATAAGTGGGGAATGCATTCAGCACCTTTTAGGATCTCTCTCAGTATGACTGAAATCTCATTGCATAAGGTTGCCAACTCTTGTGCTTTTATCACACTTTTTGTGATATTTGGGATTTGCCTGAAAGTCCCAGCTCCTGGAGTCATATGGTTTCAGGAGAACTTCTGCTTTCATTTAAATAATAATTAAAAAAAAACCCTAATCCAGTAAGTTTCTAGTGGGCAGGGGCTGCTCCAGCAGATAGGCTGGAGCAACTCCTCCTCCCTCCCTCTGCCTGCCTGTCTGTCCCCCTCTTTAATTGATTAATTGGTTACACAGTGGCTGCGTCTAGACTGGCAAGATTTTGCGCAAAAATCTATTGTTTTGCGCAAAAAAGCCCCGATCGCGAAAATGGCAATCGGGGCTTTCTTGTGCAAAACCGTGTCTAGATTGGCATGGACGCTTTTCTGCAAAAAGTGCTTTTGCGGAAAAGCGTCCGTGCCAATCTAGACGCTCTTTTCTGCAAATGCTTTTAACGGAAAAACTTTTCCGTTAAAAGCATTTACGGAAAATCATGCCAGTCTAGACGCAGCCAGTATGTTGAGCCACTTAATCAATTAAACGGGGTTTTACATCCCTAGTCCAAATGACAGAAGGCAAAGAAGCAGGACCCAGCACTGTTTTTAAGAAAATCTCCTGGCTTTGGAGGCCAGAAGAGTGGGGCTGGCCTAGCTTCCTTAGTGTCCACGCCCAGCAGCCACATCAGGAGGCTTTTGAGTCTGGGGAGATGGCTCCATTGGAAAGCAGCAGAGCTCTTGCCCCTTGCAGCCTGGACCAATTGCCTGGGTGCATTAACTGGGGTTGGTGGAGAGAATCCCCATGCACGTAAAGCTCTCCCCGCGGAGCTGAGCGCGCCGCCGTTGCAGCACCCCCTCTCCGCCGGCAGGTGGCGCCCACGTGACTGAGGCGGGTACTACACTTACCCTCCTTTCTGCCAGCAGGTGGCGCCGCCCCCCCTTGTCCGCGGCGAGTCCTGCAGCGCCCCCGCGCGCTAACTGGGGTTGGTGGAGAGAATCCCCATGCACGTAAAGCTCTCCCCGCGGAGCTGAGCGCGCCGCCGTTGCAGCACCCCCTCTCCGCCGGCAGGTGGCGCCCACGTGACTGAGGCGGGTACTACACTTACCCTCCTTTCTGCCAGCAGGTGGCGCCGCCCCCCCTTGTCCGCGGCGAGTCCTGCAGCGCCCCCGCGCGCTCAGGCGGAAGTGCTCCCCTGACCCCGTCCCGGCATGCCGTGCGTTTCCGGTGACCCCTCTCCCTGCCCCCCCTCAACCCTTCCCCGGCGGGCGCTGCGAGCCGAG